AATAATCACCCCGTAGGCCCCTCTCGCTCCCTCCTCGTTGTCTTTCTCCGCGGGCAACCACCTGTGTTTACGCACGTGCGTGCCAGGCTTGGGCAAGGATTATTAAAATGCAGCCCGCTCCTTTGTGAGAGGCGCGTGACCTATCCTGTTTCGCGCGCACTTTGACTTCTTGCGAGTCGGAAAATGCGAGCGAGGAACACGCGCTTTGCGCCTGAGAAAACAAAAACGGGGCAACGAGGCGTCTCGTCCTTTTTTTCCCCCGATGTGCACGAGTGTCGGTCTCTCTCCTCGAAATTGAAGCCGGGCCTTACGCCAACGGTGTCCTTTGAAATCCAAGGATATCCTTTTTCATTCTCATCGTTAGTATACTCGAAGAATTCTTGGTTGAAACTGTAACGAAAAACATTCACGGATATATCGAGAAGCAGTCAGATTATCTGGATAATTTAGGCTACGCTCCTGAATCCTTGCGGTTTCGCACTCTTCATTCCCGTATCATACATTTTTTTATTTATTTTTAAAAAAATTAACGGGCAAATATAACTACCGTTGGTGCGCACTACTAAAGTAATTTATAGCATTACAAGTTCCTGCGTAATGATTTACAATCCTCGTGAAAGTTTACATTTGGAGAAAGTTTATTAAGCTCTGCACCAATGGGACTTTTCCAAACTTGGGCTTTTTTAGTGCCAGCTTGGCCTCACCTATTTCGGTCCAAATGGAAGTTAATTCTAATTCGGATGAAGGATTAATAAGGTTTTATTATTAGCCCCTTGAACTAAAATATGAATTTAACATGTGAAGAAAGCCAGGGTAGTCTCGTTAAAATTTGATGAATACGATTCCGGGTCAACGATCGCCTTTGGTGTCTCAACGAATAATTTCCCTCCAAGACCGAACACAGTAACGATTTACTGAACTAGTTATCACAAAAAAATTGAGCAATACTTATTATTATTACCATACAAAAATTATCACCCTATTCATCCATAAATTTAGGGGTAGACGCTGACACTGACACAATTATTCAGTTTTATTCTACTCGTCAAATGATTTAATCTAAGGTGAGTTTTTAAAGTCTGAGACTCTTACAAATAAGTAAGGAACTTTGATACTATTGTACTGCATACATTACTTCAGCATAAAAAGAAAGAGCATAGAGTTTGTTGGAACTAGCTCGTATGTAGATAAATACATTGATAAATTACTTAAAAAAGGAGAGTAAAATTAAATCGAACGAACCGTGAGAAAGGCTACATTTTCGTCCTTAATAGCAGAATACAACGTCATAGAATCTCTAAATTAGTGATGTCAACCCGATTTTTCACTCATAGGATTCACGGGGCGTTGTAAAGTCAAATTTATTTCAAACAACATTGAGCCCGAATGGAGCATGCGGGACAAATGAAAAGGGGAAGGATGAGAAGGCACGTGAATCTCGACGTCTCCCACGCGTCCGGTCTCTCTCTCTCTCTCTCTCTCTCTCTCTCTCTCTCTCTCTCTGTTTCTCTTTACTATTTCCAAGAATATCGGCACATATGTGGACTTTCGACGGGCACGCGTCGCCTTTATCATTTGCTTCCACACACAACGTACCCGTGTGGACATTGTGCCATACAAAGGTATATTCGTGCGACGATGGGTATATCCGAGTGAGTGCTCACGTGTAATGGGAAAGAAGGGCTGAAAAGTCCAAATTGAACGTTTATACGGTTGTGCTGAAGCCGAGCTGATTCTATGTGTGCACAAGCATTGTTTGGCGTGCTTTGGGCTATTGCTGACTTTGGGGGCCATTTTAAACTGGGATGGAAACAAATGGTGAGACCAAACGTGCCCAATTTCAGTAGTTGTTGTTTGCAACTTTGTGACCAAATTTATTAGATTCTGGCCAATTAGTTTCTGTAGATGGAAAATTTATTAGATTTCGACCAATTAATTTATATAGATGGCAAATGCTGTTGCGCACACAATACGTGGAATTGAAGAATATTATTTCATTTTTTTGCCATCACCATAATTTTAAGGTAAACGTATAGATGCATGGCATCGTGAAAAATTTACATGGTAAAAATTACCCTGAAGTTGTAAAATTCCTTCTGTCCCCGAATAGTATAGCGTTGATAAGTTCAGCACTTTACTCTGTCAAGTAATCAATAAATTACTTCACGATATCGTCATTAATTATGATCACTCCTTGTGTTATATTGACATAGAAAAATGCAATTTACAGGCTTCACGCGCGAGCACCTCGACTAATGCGAGAGAGCAAATCGAATCGAGGAAGAGACCAAATATGGACATATTTATACGAAGGACCCACTACAGAAGCGATATAACATAGCGCACTAACATTATGGACCACAGAAACCCCCACGCGAGAATAAGACCGGGGGGGGGGAGGAAAAATACATACAATCAATATCGAGGATCTCGTGTACCACTACACACAAGAGAGAGTAATCGGTGCTCACGCTCCCGTTAATCCCGGGCCATTTGACATTCCCTCGTTCCCCCTTATCGCGGTCGTTCAATGCGGCCCGCCAAATTTTCCGCATATCGAAAGAATACGTGTGCAAGCAATGCCTCCATCATTTCACCGTAATATACCGCAATCGCATCGCGACAGGCGTGGCGCGTCTTCCCGAGGCACGTGCGCTATGTATATACGTGCTCTTTCCGTAGAAATTCGTCGAAAATGCCACCCTCCCCGCGTACGTGTACCTGCATACACACGTTTATACCACCTATATAATATATACGCGTATATTATACACGCGTCCGTGGACGCACAATGGCAATTGTACCGCTGCGGCTGCGAACGCAACATAATGGGCGGCAGCATTATAAATGAGAGAACGTCTGCAACTAATTTGGGGCACACGTTGCCGGCCGAACTAAAGGAGGGTCGGGGGGAAACGACATATAACTCTCGCTTCGAGGCCCTTCTCGCTTTTATACTTGTACGCCCTGCGAGCTGTATGCATCGTACGTTCACTGTACGGTTCTCTGCCGATGTGCTCTGTGGGTTGTGTTGCTGGACCCCTGATGTTTGGGCGTTTTACGGAAGCAGAGGAGCCGTGCAGTAAGCTAGAGGTGCCGATGTATACAACACGCGTGAATAGGACACGAACTGGTTGTGGGTGTGGACGAAGAGGTTGGGACGATTTTTTTTTCTTTCACGGAGGAAAAAAGTGTTTTTATGTAAGTTGTGGGGACAGATGTGCTTGTACGCGTGGGTATATGCTCAGGAATTTGTCACTGGGGCTCGGTTACTTGGTAAATATTACGCAAAGGGGGCGTAAGTAGAAAATGATCGTTTTCCAACGTTTTTACGAGGCGTTTGGACGGCTAATATCTGTACGAGTCATACTATGATGATGGTTTGAAAAGTTTTTAAAAAATTTGTAAAATCTCGAGACCAAACGAATTTTAATTTAATGCATCTCGAATTTTTTGTAGGTTTAGTCGAATGAAGGAGGTGAAATCGATGGGTTATTTATAAGGGGCTTCTACTGAAGCATATCTCTTTAAGAGAGGAAAAGCCATAGTACAGCAAGATAATCGCGAATCAGGATATGCATGTTCCTACTTTTTAGAGAACAACTTTCCTAGATGTCTGTTCCTTCTTGAGACTAAGAATCACTTTGAGATATCTTACAAGTTGGAATTCAAATGGTAATACATATATAAAATAATGTTTACTTTAATTAGATGAAAATTAACAGTAAAAAAAAGTATCAGCAGATAGTTTAAATGTTTAGAAAAATTTAAAAAAAAATTTATTATTCTATAATATAGATAACATTTCAAATGTTTTCGGTACCGTTCGAACAAATTATCCAAAAATGGCCCTTGTATTGTTCTACTTGTCAATAAAATATTACTAAACTCTGCTTATTGGGATTCATCCAAAAGTAATAATTAATAATATAGTTTTTAACAATGATTCGTTCTAATCACTAAATATTGTGATGATTCTACGCACGAGGAATCAATCGAATATCAAACGTACCAAATTCAGACCGTTTTATCAAGGAAAGCGACCCGTTTATCATCTCTCTCACTCCCTGTGTTTCTCTTCATGTACTACAACTATATTGCCGCCATGGATATATATATATACACGTGTACGCCTACATCCTACATCGTGCACACACATCACATACATCCATCCGTACGTCGGAACAATCGAATCGCTTTGTGCGAGAATTCAGAGACCGTTTACCTATACGTATAGCTCGGGTATTTCGCGCGTGCAATGCGTACAATGTGTACTCGGGCAAGTTGCACCCACGTGCGGGCGTTTATGCGGCATATAGAACGCTCGAGCTTGCATAGCTCTGTACGGAATCGTGCGTGCAACGATTGTACTTTGGTTGAAGCCTTTGTGTGAGTATATACGTATACCTGCATGGACCTCAGCTGTATGCCCGCAGCCTCAGGGCCTCAGGGGCAAAGACCGGATAATGGAGACGCTCGAAGCAACTGATGGGAGAAATTTCCTTTGCGACAAGTAGGCTTCAAAGGCTTGGATTGATGAAGATTTTAAGTCCTTTTAAAATGCCTTATCGGTTCCCATCTGATATGTTGGGATTACAAAATACGATGAATGGAGTAGGTCGAACTAAATTTAGTGATTATTCGCCAGATATAAGGAGCATCTCGGTGTTTCGGTGATAACAATGCTTCAATACGTCTGATGGCAGTTAATCTCTTCGTAAACAACTATAAAAGCTTCGCAATTCGAGCAGGTCAATCTTTCGTTAGCAGGAAACAACATTTTCATTGAATCATTTGAAGCTGTCGTATCAAGAGCGTTTTGCTGTACGTGTGAAAGTTTTGGTTGCAGGTTTGAAATGTCTTCAGGTTAGTAGTTATCAAGAAAAGAGTTTGTGTATTTTAAAAAAAAACGTAGAGTTGATGATTTTCAGTACTTTGAAGCAATATGAAAATCTATAAATTTAACTATTGAGTAAACGAAAATTCTTTTCCTTTTAAAGCGTCAGAAGTAGAAGGAAACCAGACAGTCAATGGCAAAAAAGAGATAATCGACGTTAAAGATTTGACGTCCGTCTTGCAGAAGGGGTTGAAAAGCGACAAGCTCGAAGTAGTGCATTTTTCAGCACAATCATTCTTGATTCCGGGCGAGAGCTATTCCGGAATATTAGCGAAAGTTGATGTGACGATCCATAGGGATGAAGGTGACAAAGATGAGAGTCTGCATTTAATAATGAAAAGGATAAATATGCTGGATATTTTTTTTGAACCTCAAGTGATCTTAAAAAGGGAAGTTTTTATATACACTGATTTGATTCCGGCATACCAGAACCTGGAGAAAGAATTGGGGATCAAAGGGAATGAGATTATTGATATTACCCCAAAATATTATGGACATCAGAATTCGCGTGAAGAAAATTCCGACGTAGTCGATGCAAATGCTTTATTGTTGCTTGAGAATTTATACTCTCACGGATACTACATGTGCGATAGATCATCCGGTACGTGTTAGATTATTCCTAATTATTAGTATAATTTAATTTGTTTGATTACCACACACTTTGATGCATGTTTTGATACTATTTCTGGTGACAAGTCAATTAAAATAAGATGATTTCAATACGTGAAATATTGTTGTTTGTCAATTTCCTCTTAAGGAGGATATTTCTAAAGGTTAAAAATATCTTATTTAAAAATGACAGTACATCAAAAGTCTTGACGAAACAACATAATGCGCGTATCGTATTTTGATAAGTTTCCAAAATGAATAATACTAAATTTATAACCATTAGGACATTTTTATCAGAAAATTTTTTCCTACTAGTTTCATGTACGAATTTTCGAGAATTTTTGTGCTGTGGATTTAAAAATACATATCATGGTTAGAATTACATTCGACGACCTGTACCTTGTCATTAGAAATTGAGTAAGATTGACTGATGGTTATAAAAAATATAAGTAATAACTAATTAAACATTAGCTTGTATAATACACTTGTTATGGCTGTGGCTGGCACATATGTTTTAAGGCTATTATCTTGCGGAAAATGCAGACTTCCAAGTGTTATCAATAGAATAAAATTTTGGAATGATACCCCGATTAGTGGTGGTGGTGGTGCCATAAATATTTCACGCATAATATTCGAAATTTGAAGTATTGAGTTGCGTATGTGTATCATATCATTATTAAATTACAACATCAACACTTTCATTAACTAGTCATCTTTCAGCACATCAAACTACTTCTTTTAAGTTGTGTTGCACGATTTCATCAAGAAGTTGTTTTATTCTATAACAATAGCAGTGTTCATGATCAATCAAAGAATGCTACTACCCTGTTTACCTGAACAACAACCTCCATAAAACAGCCTTAACTTTACGTCCATGCCAGTATATGTTCTTCAATCTAAACATTATATTTTTTAAGCAATAATAAAATAACTCTCCAAAATTGGTCAGCATGTGCGTTGGACAAAAAAAATCTTTTCTCCATAAGTCTTCAATAGGTGACAAATGAAACAGTTTTTTTTTTCAATTTAAATTACGTTAAAGCGAGTAAAATTACGTTAATGCATAAACAATGGTATTGGACCAAAAGTTTTTTTCTCACAATACTGTTATTCAATCTTGTTTTTTTCAATTGGTTTTTTTTACTTCATCTACATTCAGAATAATTTTTTTAATAACTTTTTTGGTTATCTAGAAATAAACATAATAAAATGCAATAAAGTCTTGTAACTTTTATTCAATTTTAATCAATTATTTAACTGGTTGAAAGATAAACCCCTTAAAATTAGCACTTCACTTTGTTTTGTACATTTTTCTCAAAAATAAAACAATTTTAATTATAATGACAATTCAGTTAAACAAATTTTATTGCATTATACGATATCACACAATTGCACTGAATCATTAAAAACTGCCAAACGTCTTTAATAAGTTTCCTGTTGATCGACCGATATTTGCTCAATAGTAGTCAAACGATCATTAAAACAGACTATCATGATATGTGACACGGTTTCAATAGAACATTGTTATTTTTAATTATGCAAGTTTAAGACAGTCATCGAATAAAAAAAAATTTCGTGATATTTCTCGTAACATCCAATATTACACAATAATCAGATATGATAAATCGTTTCAGGCTTGGACTTTAATCGAGCCAAAACAACTCTATCCGCATTGAGCCGATATCACGCTCTTGGCATTGCAATGAGGCAAAAGCGACCGGGTGACTTTGAAAAAATCATCAGTCAAGTAAAGAATAGTGGCTTAAAAGCTTTGGTTTTGGAAAACATTTTTCGCAACCACTACGAGGCACTGATGAACGAACCCAAGCTCGAGCAGTACCTCTCGAAAATAGAGTTCTACTTCCAGAATTGCAACAGCATAGACGGGCCCTGGACTACCATAACCCATGGCGATTTACGCCTAAATAATTTACTGTTTCTCAAGAAAGATAGTAGTAGACCAGATGACATAGATGTAAAAACGATTGATTTTCAGATCAGCCAGTATGAGAGCTCGCTCAAAGACGTGATGTACTTCTGGATCACTAGTCTGGACGAAGATACTCTAAAAAATAGACTTGACGATCTGCTCGACTTTTACTACGCGTCGTTCATGTCGTGGCTGAGGAGATACGACTGCGATGTTGAATTTTTTTCAAAGGCCGAGTTTGAGAAAGAATGCAAAGAACAGGCGATCATCCATTTCATCAAATCCACTGCGGCTATGAAGTTTACTTTGTATGAATTTATTGATGAGGCTGATGAATGTACCAGCGACGAGCTGAGCGATATTGTGTTACAGAGCAGCTTGAGCAAAGCTTACATGAAAAGATTGCTGATGATTGTTAATATTTACGAGAGGAAAGGTTGGTTTTGATTATTGTTCAATTGGCCCGGCATAGATGGCCAATGATGAGGTTTTGTCAAATAAAAATCACAATTTTCCAACTTTCCTTTATTTTTGCTACCAAAAAATAGAGAATTGAAAGTAATTAGGTGGTACTCCCGTACACTCACTCGTGTCCCAAGTAGCAGCAAACCGAGTACGAAAGGGAAAAGAAAAATAAGGGGGATCGCTAAAACGGAGAGAACAAAAAACAAGGATGGGGAGAGAGAGAGAGAACCGACTTCCTCGACCTCTTTCCGGTTGCAGCTCCTTCAAGAGCAAAAGCTAGAAGGAGTACGACCTTCCCCCACGGTATCATTCCTCGTTCGAGAGGCGAAAACAAGGAGTGAGAAAAAGGAAGGAGAGGGTCAAGGAACGTGTGCCGTCTTCCTTCCCTCCTCCTCTTCCTGTTTTTTTTTTTCACTCCCTTCCACAGCCCTCTTTCTTTGCTGCATCCCCCTTTCTTCCCCCCCCCCCGACCGTCCAGACGCAAAATCAGTGCGATCGCTTCTGCTTTGGTAGAACAAAGAAAAAGAACCACAGATTTGAGATGGACGATGCACGACTGCGACAATGGCGTAGCTATGGGTAAATAGAAGGTGGTACGCTTGTTATTAAACGTCATGGGCCATTTTTGAGGATGCATTTGACCTTGTACACGTGAGCTTTTACGATGATCCTTATTAAATTCCAATTAAAGTGAAATTTTGAATCGATTCTAAGATAAGTGTGGCTGTTTTTCCGCAAAGACTCCCTTGGTACGGAGGAATGTCAACTTGGAGTTTACGGAAGTATATATACAAGACGCCAGATGCAGTATTGAGGCACACTCGAAAGAAGAGCGTAAGTTCCATTGAAAGTGAACAATTCTCCGGCACACCAACTAGGCACTAATTAAAACAAAACTCTCCCCGCCGTCGTCTCCGAAAAAGGGAGTGTATTCATATCGCACCTCCATAGGGCACCCCCACCGGCAACCCCCGGCAAAACTTTATCGCGAAGAAAGCCAGGGTAGTCTCGTTAAAATTTACGCACAAAAGGCAGCTCGCTCGGGCCTTTTTGTCTCGATACATCGGAACTTTTAACCACGAGCAAACTTGGGCACACAAATCCTCGAGACTCCGGAAGGCCTTTTCGCGGTTCACGAGAAAAGGGAAGGAAGGGAGGGTAGAAGTGCCGCGCTCGCTTTCCTGTCAACGCGGCTAACGAGATGTGTCCGCCCACTCGGAGTTTTCACTATTATAATAGCGCGAAACAGCTGAATTATATACAAGAAGTGGGTACGGGCTCGACGCGGCGATGAAAAGTTTCTTGGACGGTAGAGACGGTCGAGGAGGGAAGGGGGGTGGAAGGGACAGCGCGCGAGCTGGGTGTGGCTGGTATAGGCTCTGTGTAGCTGAGATAATATTTTTCTTTTAATTTTCGTGACTTTTTTCCCGAGTTACGGGCCGTTTTGAACGCTTCGGAGGATGCAGGGAGATCCCATATATATATAGGTGTTGAGGGGCTGCTGGTTAGTGAGAGCTTTTTTTCTTCTTTTACCGGGAAACACAGCTGCCGGACGACGAATCTATGTCAATTTTTGTCGGCCCGTCTATGGATTCTCGGAGGCTGTGTGCGCAAAGCCGGGGAGCTGGTATGAGCCACTTACTATGCAGATTGCAAAATAAATATATTCTGTATCGAGAGGGGCAGCAGGGGTTGGGGCGAAGGAAATTGAGATTTCGATGCAACAGCGACCGAGGCTATGGTAGTTTCGAGAGGGCCTATTATGGGTATGTGTAAAGATTCTGAATGCGATTTCTTGCTCAAATGCATTTTAAGGGAAATTTTGGTTTACGATACTGTTTTCTTTGGAAATTCAATTTTACAGTGATGGAGGGAGCAGGGGTCCTTTGCATATTTGGGATTTTTTTTCCACTTATTTTCTCATGATCTCAAAGATTGCTCCAATTGTTTTGAATTTCAATAAATGAAAAACATTGATATTTATTTAATTTCTGATGGCAAGTTACAAAATTATTCACACTTTTTATCTTTTTCCTAGGGTATTTCCATACCAAAAAATAATATCCATACACTTCAGTATCAAAAAAAAAAAAAATACTTTGAAAAGCGTCAGTATTAAAATGCCAAAGTATTAAGTTTGTAATCTTTTTCTTAATTGGGGCACAACCATAATATTTAATTTCCTTATTGGGGTTTGATTACATGCGTATATTCTTGGTATTTTTTAAATAACCATCACGTCACTCCATTTATGTAGTAAAATAAAAATTCGGATTAATTATCATAAGAAACAAAAATCAGTAGCCCCAAAAATACCTTTACACGAGACCAAACGCTAGTGGGCACAAAGAGGTCCAAGTCGGGTATTTAAGAGCTGTGTACATATAACACACACGTCCTCCCCACCGGACACCCTATTTTTTCAACAAGGACTTCCGGTCGCGTGAAAGCTCTCGCATATTTTTTCTTTTTCCCTCTCCTGCGTTTGGGCCTCGAAGGAGTGATCCCGAGTTTTCCTTCTTTCTCTTACTCTGCACTCCAGGGATCGGAGCTTTCAGGACCGCAACAGTTTTTGGAGTCGAGCCCAGACACGTACGTTTGCCGAAATTCTCGCCAATGCTCGAGGACACCAAATACTACAAGAAAACCAGCTTGAAAGTGAAATCGAGTGTGATGCTTTTGTTTTCCCGGCCCCTCGTTTTTCTCTCCTTGGAGGATCTTTTTGGAGGATCTACCCCAAAAGATTAAGGAGGATGAGTCAGGGTCAACATAGCTTTTTGCCTCTCCGTGTAAGTAACGGAAAGGGTCCGGTTCGTAAATAAATAACGGGTTATTTTTATCAAGGTTACCATTTAAAGGATTACTTACTCGTGGATTGAAAAATGTTGCTGCTTTTTGAAAGATCGGTATACATTACCCGTTTTGAAACAAGAATTCATGAAAATGTTTGTTTTGAAGAGGTATTTTTTTCATAGCATTTTTTTCTTCAAATGTAAAAAAGAAAGTCGTACTAGTCTAATCAATGAAATACGTTTGTAAATTTTCCAACCAATTCCAATCGAATTCAATGTGGTATTAAACATGTGTCAGAAAGTATCTAATTTTTTTTTTTCTTTCCATTGATTTTTTGAAGAACTGCTTTTCCAAAAAGTGATTTAGGAAAGCCAATAGTCTCCCAACTATTTTTGAATGCAAAATTCTTCCAAAACTACGGTTAGTTATTATGTAGTGTATATAAATGTAACGAGACGACAGGATAAAAGAGATGGAACGTCAGCAAGGGGGTGCGTACCACTACAGCGGAAGTCTAGTCTGGCGAGCCAACGAAAACGAGAAAGGCTTGCGTGGATGCATGTGGTGGTGCAGCAGCATCTGAAAAAGAAAAAAAAAACCCTGGACTGGACACGTGACGTGGAGCAGAAAAAAGTCTATTCCAGCGAGTCTGTTTTGTCGTTCCTCGGATGCTCCATCTGTTTGATGATGAGTTTGTTTTGTTCTTTCGCTCCTTCAACAATTGGTCCAGCAAAGAACTTGGGGAACCCATTGTGGAAGGCTCTAACTGAGATGTCACTTTCAACTGTATCGATGAAATTGTCCATCTATACAACTGATACGTTTTCAATCAAACACTTATTTCCTGCTCAAATCACACAGTGCAGTCAGCCTAATAAAAGTACCTTCTATTGCGTTGGGTTGAATTTTTTCATGCCCAGCACAATGAAAAGAAAAAGAAAAAAGAAATTCAAACTCATCCGCTCACCCCTAGAAAAACACACTACGAATACAGCCAATTCAGACGTTAAATCGCAAGCTATTCATACATAATTTTAACGGGTACTGTATCCTCCAATATACATATACGGTACGCGAAGTTGCACGGGGAAAGGAGGAGGGTGGCAGAAGGGAGCCGATTTTCGCTGAATTTTCGAGTGGTGCTTCTCTCCTCCTACCCATCGGAGCGACTCATCGATTCGAATGGTAATTCGTCACGGCTGTACAAACATTAGCCATGCAGGCATAAAATAATATAGACGTGTGGTACTCGCATTTTTTGCACACGCTTGCCCAAAACATATATGCACACACGTATACGTCCTCGTAGGTAATTCATGGAGAGAATTTTATTGGACAGATTTGAGTGTATGTGCTCATATAGGTAGGTTTTATGCACTCCCGTTACCCAGCCGATTGCGCGAAAATCGTTCCGTGCACACCCTGCTCCCTGACCTGCGTATCTTTTTTTTTTTTTCTTCTTCTTCTGCCACTACTGTTTGCTCGAGCGCAAACGAGTTCTGAATTTATAACACGGATACAATGTATCGACTCGATTCAACAGAGTTCGATATTGTGTCTCCACAATGATTGAAGTTTTACGATTTTCTCTCATTTCAATAAAGAAAAAAAAAAATTATCTCGTAACAGCGTATCAAACCAATTGCAGTACTCAATTATAGTCTCGGAGTCATTTTTCTTTAAATCGTAACTGTGGTATCTACTAAAAAATTGCATCTAACTCATTACACATGTATTGTATCAAAAAATTTACAGTTATTACATACTTTATCTGAAATTCTTCAAGAAGTATAATCAGTTTAAAAAGTTGGAATAACATGAATAGCTTCAAGGATTTTCAACTTTTATAAGTGTTTTTTCAAAATAAGATAATATACACACAAGTAATTTGGATTTTTNTTCTCTCATTTCAATAAAGAAAAAAAAAAATTATCTCGTAACAGCGTATCAAACCAATTGCAGTACTCAATTATAGTCTCGGAGTCATTTTTCTTTAAATCGTAACTGTGGTATCTACTAAAAAAAACAAAAACTGCGCAATACAATTAATGTTGGTGAAAATTATTGACCATTTTTTGATACCATTAATTTTCACTAGGAAGCTAAAATTGGACTGTTACATAAAGTAGCTTCAGAAAATCATGAAAACAATAAAAATAGTGACTATGATTGTTAATGCAAGTATTCAA